GTGTTCTGCTTTTTTTTTTTCTTTATTATATTATAAAATATTATATATATAATATATGTGTAAAAGAAAACAGAAAGGTGCAAGTAGAATTAGCGGAAAAGGAAATGTGTAAGAACAGAAAGGGTAACGTTGACTAAAGACTAATTAGTAATGACAAATGAGAAATGACTTGTTAATTTGTATATGAGATACGGTGACAACCCCCTTGGGGGTTGTCAGATTCACAACCCACTCACTAACCGTTGGATACACTCTCTCTCCTGTCTCTTTCTTCTTTTTTTAAGTTGATGGTTAGGATTAAAAGAAGGGTATTTTTGGAAAGGAAAAATGTTAACACACCCAATCATTCTCCCTCCCATATAAATAAAATAAAAACCCTAACTCCTCCCTCTCCCCCTCATCTCTCTCTTTCCCTCCTCCCTCTCTCCAGACAGCACTGCCGTCGGCCTCCACCACCTGCCGCCGGCCTCCTCCCTCTCCCCCTCATCTCTCTCTTTCCCTCCTCCCTCTCTCCAGACAGCACTGCCGCCGGCCTCCACCACCTGCCGCCGGCCTCCTCCCTCTCTCCACCCACCATCAGCATCTCTCCTCCCACCATCAACATCTCTCCACCCCCTGCCGCCGGCCTCCAACACCTGCATCAGCTTCCCATAAGCACCACCACGAAGACAATCAAGGGGAAGCAGCTGTCCCCCCCCCCTCCCCCCGCGCCGCGCCGCTGTCCTCCCCTGCCGCCACCATTTTTATGTCGCCGCCACCGCGAGGTCAAGACTCATCCCTATTTTTTTCCAGATCTGATAGTCTCTACCGGTACCAATACCACTGGTAGCACTATTGGTACCAATACCACTGGTAGCGCTATTGGTACGCTACCACCACTCACTGGTACCAATACCAGTGGCTCCCCTATCATCTGGTACCACTATCATCTGTTTTTTTTTTGTGTTATTTGCTACTGGTATCGCTACCAATGCTAGTGGTAGCGCTACCAGTGCTAGTAGCGTTGTGTTATTCTCTACTGGTAGCGTACCACTAGTACTGGTACATTTTTTACTGGTACCGCTAGTACTGGTACATTTTTTAACTTACTGGTAGCGTACCACTAGCACTGGTATATTAATTACCAGTAGACTAATAGATTGGTACACTTTTTAACGCATTGGTACATTTTTTCAGGTTGCCGGAGGGAGTCTGCCGGAGAGAATTCGCCGGAGAAAAAGTTTGTCGGTCGATGCGGAGTGGCTGCTGGAGAAAGGAAGAGAGAGAGATAGATAGAGATATTAATGTATAGGATTTAAATTTCAGAAAAAATTGTATTTAATATGGGTTTTTTATTCCCAATATAATTAATACAAAAAGGTAATTAATATTTTTTTTTTTCATACCCAAAATACCCTTGGTTGTGAATCTGACAACCCCCAAGGGAGTTGTCACCGTATCCCGTCCCTTTCGTTCTGCATTCAATTCTCTCTCTCTTCCCGTCTATCGTGGTTTTCTGTGTGGTCATTGGTAGGGATTGCAACAAAACCCGAACCCACGGGTATCCACCCGACCCAATCCGGTCAACGTGGGTAAAACTCATATTGACGGGTTTTTGGCCGGATTTGGGTTTAAACCCGCTACACTATTCACCGGGTCGGGTTGGTTTTGGGTTTAGGTAAACCCGTCCCATGGGTACCCGCCCACACACATATAATTACTTTCCTGGTATATTTAATATTCTAAATAATATATCTTCCTTAAATAACTAATATTCTATATGTTTGTGGAGACATGTATAATTTGTTCTTTCTAATTGTTTAGAATGAAGTTGATATTATGAAGTGGAGAGTGAAGAAACTTAGTTGACGAGGAAGAAACTTTCAATTAATCTTATTGTTTATATATGTTTATCTTTAATTTTGAACAGTTTGTATTGATCACTTGCGGTTTGCTTGTATGCTCTAGATTGGTGTTTTTTGTACGATTAATTTGTATGAGAAAATTGATGTTAAACTTTTATTTTGAAAGAAACTTGTTATTGTAAATTTTTACCACAAAAACCCACGGGTACCCATGAACCCGCGGATACCCAGCGGGTTGGGTTGGGTTTGAGTTTTTCAAACCCAACGGGTTTTACCCCGGGTTTTTTTGGCGGATAAACCCATGAGTTTGGGTTTGGGTTTGACAAAACCCGCCCCAACCCGACCCATTGCCATCCCTAGTCATTGGGTTGGGTTGGTGCCTTGAGCCGCCTGTGGTCATTGGGTTGTAATTTTTATCCAGTTGTTTTTCGTAAATGTCATATTTGGTCATTGAGATTATTAAATTAAGTTATGTTTAGTCATTTTAAAAAGTTAATATTAATTTTGATCACTCGAATTACTGAAAAATGTCACATTTAGTCACTCTTACGTTAGTTTCCGTCCAACTAACGGAGTTGGACGGAAACTAACGTAAGAGTGACTAAATGTGACATGTTTCAGTAAAGAGTGACTAATGGAGTTGGAGGAAACTAACGGAAGATTGACTAAATGTGACATTTTTCACTAATTAGAGGAGTTGGACGAAAACTAACGGAAGAGTGACTAAATGTGACATGTTTCAGTAATTCGAGTGACATTTATAAAAAAAAAAAAGTAATTCGAGTGACCGAAATTGGACGAAAACTAACGGAAGAGTGATTAAATGTGACATGTTTCAGTAATTCGAGTGACATTTATTAAAAAAAGTAATTCGAGTGACCGAAATTGGACGGAGGTGAACCCGTAAATCCACCCGCATCATCCACCATCCGCCCAACCCAACCCGAGACTAAATTTGGGTGGGTGATGGGTTAAAAATTATCAATCCGTTTAAGCGTGGGTGGGTGTGTGTTTTATGGTCAAAATCCGCCCGACCCACCCAATGTCCACCCCTACTGGGGAGGGTTAAGAGTGGTAGCCATTCACCAGATTCATGTGTTAATGGCCAATTTTTATTTTATATTTTTTATAATTTGGTTAATTTGAAAATGATCAATAATAAAAATTAGGAAAATAATTTGAATTTGAATTTTTTAATAATTTTTAGGCTAACGAGATAATGACATGACATGTTGACTAACGGTCAACGGTGTTGACCGTCCAAATTGAGGGTCAAATCATGTGTCGGGTCAATTGAGTCTGTATGCTGTATAGTTGAGGTTAGGATGTTAATTTCTAAAATTACGGGCCAAAGTTGATTATATGGTTATAGTTCGGATCAAAATAAGATATTATCCCTATTCTATTTATTATTTTATATATGATTAGATATTCTATCACGTGTCGGGTCAATAAGTTTCTCCCGTTAGGAATTGAAGGCTGTACTATGGACTATTACATGGCTCCACGGGCGACGGATATCTAATCTCCCATCTTACATCCACCTGTGTCCGCCAACAACTTTGAAATCAAGCCCACCCTTGTAACAATGATTCAAAACAACGCCTTATTCCACGGGCTAGCCAATGAATCACCATGCGAGCATGTCCAAAGGTTTCTCGAGCTCGAGGGTAACTTGAAGATAAATGGAGTCCCCGAGGAGGCATTGCAATTGAGGCTTTTACCCTATTCGTTGGCAGGGAAGGCTCTCCGATGGCTCAACAATCGTCCGACTTAATCCATCACCTCTTGGGATGATTTACTCAAAAATTTCATCACCCGATATTGTCCTCCTCCTTCCATGATGGCCTAGTGGAGGAAGAAGATCACTCACTTTGAGCAAGAGGAAGATGAGACGTTGATGGATGCATGGGAAAGATTCTTCGACTACTTCCTTCAATGCTCTCACCATGGATTTGAGGAGAAATTTTAGATAAAGACTTTCTATGGATGTCTCATTCAAGATGATAAGATTCTCATTGACTCTCTTTGCCAAGGGAAGTTGATGAACACGCCCCCACCTCAAGTGACCGAGTTGCTCGAAGATATAGCTCTCAAAGGATATGATTGGGGATTGACAAGAAGTGGGAAGAGAAGCACCGAAAGAGGAGTGCGAAGTGTGGGAGCAAGTGCTCCACTTGTAGCGAAGCTTGACAAGTTGATCGAGGTGATCCTTGAGGACAAGAAGCAAGAGAAGAGAGCGGTGATGTCTTGTGATTGGTGTTCAACCACTAATTATGATATTGTGGATTGCCTAGCGATGAAGGACACAAGTACCCCCAAGGAGCAAGTGATTTTCATTGCCAATGCTAGAGGGAACAACCCTTATAGCAACACATACAACTATAGGTGTCAAAACAGAACCCGACCCGAGTAACACGCCCGTTTAACCCGATCTGCAACCCGAGTTGACTAAAAGTCAATGACCCGTAACCTGCCCGACCCGTAACCTGATTGACCCGCAACCCGATCAACCCGCAACCCGATTAAACCCAAACCCAACTGACCCTCAACCCGATTGAACCCAAACCCAACTAACCCACAACCCGATTAACTCGAACCCGACTAATCCAAATGCGCCCGATTGACCCGAATAATTACAATATTATATAATAGGGCTAATACCACTACAACACCCGAACTATCAAAGAAATGCCACTTGTGTCCTATTCTTTTCAATATTCCATTTCTATTCTGAACTATGATACTTTGTGCCATTTGTATCCTGGCGATTTTTATCTCTAACGGTTGATCTAACGATGGTCAAAGAGATGTTGACTTTTGCTGACATGGAAGGAAACATGGCATCCACGTAGATGCCTCATCATACAACATATATTTTTTTTAATTCAAAATCAAAATTAAATGCAAAATAATTAAAAATAAAAAAATAATGATTGGCCTTTGCGTTGCCGCTCCGCCGTCCCTATCTTCGTCAAGCACAAAATCCACCATCTCCGACTTCCTTATTCCTCCTCTCTTAGTCCCTAATCTAAAAAACCCCAAACTTTAGTTTCGTAGTGAGAAATCACCATTTCTCCTCCTTATCAATCGAAATCGCCATAAAATCATCTTCTCCCCCAATACTCTGGCTCCTCCACAGATCTAAAACCAACTAGATCCAAAAGATGTTGATTCTGCAAGCGGGAGCGGAGTGCCTGGCACTTCGCGGGATGCGCGTCGAAGAAGGAAGTGATGGCGCCGACGGTGGTGAAGGAGCTCTGCGCTCACCCCATGGCGACGACGACTAATGAATCCCCGACGATGCACCGACGATGCAGCCTTCTTCCCCTGCTAGTTTTGAATCCCCTCCAAATTGCCTGAGCCCACCGACCAGACCTTCCAAATTGCCCTAGCCCGTCGACCCAACATCGGGGCATGCTCAAGTTATCAATCGATGGGTGAAGGGCGGAAGAGAGACGGATTTGGATGGGCAAAGTTAGGGCCATGGCTGGTCGATTTAGAGCTCCCCTGAAATCGACCATGGAAGTTTTCGATTCAGAGCAGTGGTGGAGGCAGGGTTTTTTTTGTCGAATGAGGCAGGGGTCTTGTCGAATGAGAGGGGTGACTGGAGCGCGCGGTGGCGAGGGAGCCGGATGGAAACCCGCCGCATTTTTGGGTTCGAAGAGGAGAGCGAAGTACTGGGAGATGGTGGCGACTTCGCGGAGTCGACAAGTTGGGAGGCGGAGAGGCAGAAGTGAAAGGACAACTAATGTTAAAAACTAATGTTCAACGCAGGTCAACTCTAACAGAAAAATAGTTCAGGACACAAATGGAATATTTGAAATAATAGGATACAAGTAGCATTTTTGTCATAGTTCGGGTGTTGTAGTGGTATTAGCTCTATATAATATATAGGGATCTTTTGGATGGGTTAATTTTCAATTTGGTATTTGTAAGATCAAATAACTCACTTTTTGTACATGTGGTATTTGTACGTTATTTGGAGGGAATGAGAGTTAAATTATCTTGTTTGGATGAAAAAAATCAATTAGTTACTCTCCTTCCATTCCTTTCCCTCTACATTCACAAAATCATTCAACAACAATGGAATTCATCCTTTCCGACAATACCTTTAGCAAACATCTAAACATCATCAGCAGCCTCGCCTCCCATTGCAAATAGTATTTGTAGATCCTATAAAGCAAACCCTAGAAATCCCAAAACGTCTAGTAAGTAAGCATATCAAAGGGAGCAAGGACACCACCCCTATTCCTTGAGCAATCAACATTGTGCCCACCATCAATCATTGTAGCAGCTAGAAGAAATTAACAGATAATTATTAAGCATATCAACGTATTATAAGAGCTGAAAAAACAGGCAAGTGGAAAGACAATATATACGAACTGCTAAAGACAATATATACGAACTGCTGCATATCTCCAATCCGTAGAGCTACACAAGTTTGAAAACAAAACCTACAGAATTAGTAAGAATTCAGAAAGAATCTAGACCAGAACACAACCAAAGTCGAATCATTTTTCCCTTTTCCCACAACCTTCCAATGAAATCAGAAATCAAATCATGAAAAACTAAAGGAAGGAAGCTATTTGCATCAAGGGTTTTTACCTCTAACGAGATGTAGGGATTTCCGATTGTTCATCTGCAGTTGGCGAGGAGAAAGAGGGAATATGGAAGGAGGAGGCAGGGGTGACCAGAAGACAGAAGAGACAAGAAAGGTTTGGGTTTGGTGGAGGGATTTCATTGGAGATATGGGTCTCGTGGTAGGGAGGTCAGGCGACGGATCTGGGAACTCGGCAGCAGGAGATTGGAGAATGAACGACATGAAGCGGCAATGGTGAGGAGGACCAATGGCTTCTTCATCCCTTCTTCGATTTGAGGACCGCATGCAGTGGTGAGCCTAGCTGGTGGCCTTGGCCGTCGCCATGGATGTAGCAGAGGAAGCCGTCGCGTTGTGATCTTCTCAGTCTTCTTCGACGATGAGGAGGCTCGTGGAGAGCCAGAGGGCTACGGCAACGCAACGATTGAATTTGCTGGTGGCGGAGACTGGAGAGTGAGGACGAGAAGAAGACAATCGGGAGGAGACCTTTTATGATTTATCTACTCTGCTCAGAGGGCTTAAGCAGCTATATTTGTGAATTGCGAGAGGGAAGAAGGAAACGAGGGAAGATGAAATTTCTTTCCGCCAACTCAAAAATCAAAACTGAAATTTTCAATTTTGATAGCCAAACCAAAACTGAAAATTAGAGTTGCTTTCCGCCAAAAACATGAGATATTTTGAGAGCCGGCTAATGGGTAAACGTAAAACTCTATCCAATCAAGCTTAATTTTAGTTCAATTGGTGTGAATCTTGAAATCTTACAAAATCTAAAAATAGTAGATTTTAAATTTTTGGCTTACAGGTATAATATGCCCCTCTACTATGACGTTTTATCAAACATACTCTTGTACTTCGAAAAAATTATCAAACATGCCCTTCTGTTAAAATTTTCATTTCAAAAATCGTCAATCATGGTTGAACCGAGATTTAGACGACCCGTCATCGGCAAATGAGAGCGAAATGTCAGTTTTGTCTCCCGTTTTATTTCTCTGGATCTCTTCAAAGTGAAATTATTTGAATTATTTGGCTATACAAAAGAACCAAAAATAATTCTAAAGTGGAATTATGAGGGATATTTTAGACATTTGTGTCGCCCAAACCAAAGTTCGACCTTGGTTAACGATTTTTGGATGAAAATTTAAACAAAAGGGCATGTTTGATCATTTTTACAAAGTACAGGGGCATATTTGATATAAAAAATAGTAAAAGGGCATGTTTGATAAAACATCATAGTAGAGGGGCATATTATACCTATAACCCTAATTTTTTAATCGAGATTTTATGAGATTTCAAGGTTCAAATATTTTATATTAAAACTAGGATTGGAAACTATAGGTAAAATCATAAAATTCTGATTTTGATTATATTGCTAGCTGCTAATCCTAATGACTTCGTCATTTACCTTATTTGTGTGTCATTACAACACTCAACACCCCATACTCAATTTGCTCGAAGTCTCACCCTTGAGCAACAACATGAGCAACTTCCTCCTCGAATTACAATGGGATTTGGGTAGGCTTCAAAAGATCTATCGACTTGCCTACCCGACACAAAATTTTGACGTAAAACTACTCGAGGCTAGTTAACATCATCATCGGTGAACATCATCAAGTTCGCTAAAAATTGTGAAAAATGTTTGAATTAGTGTAATAAAAATGTGTACGTTGTATTAATGAGTAGAAGTAACTAACTCGATGCGCTGAACCGAACAACTTGCAACCCGATTATAGGGTATATGTTATTGAGTAGAGTTGTGATTGAAGTCACAACAATTCTACTAAACTTTATAAGTAATCTTTGACGGTTCGTTGTTTAGGGTATAAAGTATTGGTTATGGTATAGGGTACAGATGGTTTAGGGTGTATATGGTTAGGGTATAAGGTATTGATGGTTTTGACGGTTCTAAGTTTTTTATTAACATATTTTCACTTGAAGTCATTTGAAGTCTTAAACGACATGAGATCTCTTTTTAATTTACGTTTATGGTACATGATTAGAGTATAGGGTATAAGGTGTAGAGTATAGGATATATGGTTAGGGTATAGCAAATATCACTTTGTTATCTGTGTTTTGAAAATAAAAGTTTGAATGTCACTTTAAATTAACTATAGTAGCAAAACCAGAAATCATAAGGACATATGGTTAGGGTATAGAGTATGTGGTTAGTGTATAATAGCTTAGTTTGGCCCTGCTGTAGCTTTTGCAAAAGCAGCTTCTGGCTGGAGCTTTTAGATAAGTACTTAAAAAAAAGCAGTTGAGTGTTTGGCTGTAAAACTATTAGAAGTGCTTTTTAATATAAGAGATTGTGTAAAATGAGTATAAATGACTTATAATATAAAATATGAATAAAAATTATAAACAATAAAAAGTAGTAAAAATGTATCTTATTAGATTTCTTTTATATTAAATAATATGATTTTATAATTTATTTTATTTTTAAAGTGATATATATGATGAAAAATTATATTTTCTGAAATAAAATTAAAATATGGTAAGGATAATCTTGTATTTTCAAAACAGCTTTTCGCAGAAGCTCCAAATCGGAGCTTCTGCTTTTATGTTATACAAAAGCTCTTTTCGGCTTTTCAAAAGCTGAGCTTTTACAGGTGTTTAGCCCCGCTTCAGCTTTTGAAACCGAAAAGCACTTCTAAAAGCCGGGCCAAACATAGGGAATGTAGTGCTGGTTTAGGGTATACGATTAACAACATATACTAATTTAATATTGTCGATTGAGGGTAAGGTTAAGTGTATATGATATGTGTTATTGAGTAAGTTATGATCGAAGTCATAACAATTTGATTAAATTTGATAGTCAATCTTTAATGGTTCATTATTTAGGGTGATTCGAACAATTTTACAAATAACTCGTTTGGCAACCTTATACTGAAGTTATTTTGGCTATGAGTAATTTCGAAATAACTCTTTTTACCACTTTGCTTTTGCCAAATACCACATGTCATTGCTAAATAGAAGATTTGCATGGTTCTACTAAATGAGATACTTTAATCTAATTATTACTAAAATAATATTAAAATACCAAATAAACAATTTATGGTCTCTTTTGGTTGCAAATGTTGATATCACCATTACTATTAGCTAGTGTACTCTAACAATTATGATTAATTACATAACAATTTTGCAAGTCATACAAATTGATTCAACATTTTGACTAAATTTTATAAATTAAATATGTATACGCCGTAGAAATAAATTGGTTAAAAATAGAGAAAAATATTTTAAATTAGTGTAATAAAGTGTGTAAGTTGGTACCAAGTAAGGCATAAGTTACTCGATGCGCTGACCAGAACAACCCACAACCCGCTCGACCCGCAGCCCCATGAAACCGCAATGCGACTTGCCCGCAACCCTATTGAACCCGAACTTGACTAACCCGCAACCAATTTGAACCCGAACTCGGTGAACCCGCAACCCGATAAACCCACAACCCGACTGAACCCGCCCCGAACCCGCCCAAACCTGCCCGATTGACACCTAGACATACAACCCCGGGTGGCGCAATCATCCAATCTTCGCTTGGTCTTCCCATACCCATCCAAGACCTCCCGGTTCCCAAGGTCCAACGGGAAACTATCAACCTCGGCCAACTTTCATCCAACAAAGGCCTCAATTCCAAAACTCGAACTTCCAACAATCATACCAAGCACAAGGTGGTCAAGGGTTTCAACAACAACAAGTCGACAAGTTCACTAAACTTGAAGACCTTGTGACCACCTTTGTGAGTACAAGCTCTCAGAAGTTCGAGAAGATTGAGCAATTCATGGATGTGTCAACCTCCAAGTTTACCTCGGTTGAGGCGAGACTCCTAAGTCATCAAGCAAGTCTCCAAAACTTGAAAGTGCAAATCGACAATCTTGTTGGGATCCTCACCGAGATTCCAAAGGGAGCCCTACCCTCTCAAACCATTACCAACCCTAAGCATCATGTCGAGGTGAATGCAATTCATTTGAGGAGTGGGAAGGTGACTCTAGAGGTAGTTGCCAAAGAAGTGAATGAGAAGGAAGACCCTCTACCCGAGGGTGGAGAAGAAGAAACCTCGAGGGAGAAGAGAGGAGTGGCGAGAAAGGCATCGCCAACGCCACCACTTGTGGTTGAGTACACGCCACCCCTACCTTTTCCCAAGAGGGTGAACAAGGAAAGATTGGAAGCGCAATGTGGAGGTTTCATGGAGATGCTCCGAAAGCTCCACCTCAACATTCCCTTCCTTGAAACAATGACCCACATTCCAAGGTATTCAAAATACCTGAAGGGGCTTCTCTCCAAGAATTCGAAGTTCGAAGACCTCGCCAATATCACTTTAGGCGAGGAGTGCTCAGCCTTCATCCTTAATAGGTTGCTCAAGAAGCAACCCGATCCAGGTAGTTTCACCATACCTCTTTGCATCGGTACTCATCACATAGATTATTCCTTGGCGGACTTAGGGGCGAGCATAAATGTGATTCCATTTAAGCTTTTTAAGAGGCTATACATAGGTGAACTAAAGACTACGAGGCTTAGTGTCACATTATCCGATCACTCTATCATTAGTCTTAAGGGCATTGTGGAGGACGTGCTAGTACGAGTGGGGAAATTCTGTTATCCGATGGATTTTAAGATCCTGGATATAAGTGAGATTCTGAGATGCCACTCATACTAGGATGCCCTTTCCTTGCCACCGCCATGGCATTAAATGATGTAAATGACGGAACTTTGATTCTGATGGACGGTGAGGAAAGAATTACTCTTGGAATTGAGCCTAAACTTAGGAGTAAGGATGTGAAGAAAGTGGAACCAGGTTATATGAATGCAAGTGGAGGAGAACCTTGCAAGGTGAACCCCACTATTATTGTTGTTCCATGTGATGTTGGGAAATAGGAAAGCAAAGAGAGCATCTCGCCCAAAGAAGGAAGAAAAAAAGCTTGGAGGGAAAGGATAAGTCATGCTAATGCCCAGAGGAAGGAAAGGGCAAAGCAAAAGTCATCGGCCAAGAAGGCCACCCCATGGAGAGTAAGTTGGGAGGAGACATGGATCGCCCCGAGATCGTGGCGGATCCACTCTCGATGGCATCATGTTCAATGGCGTGACAGATCTGAAACATCAAGCTAGTGGCGTTAACTTAGCGCTTGTTGGGAGGCAACCCAACATAGGTTTGTTTTCTTTTCCTTATTTCGTTTTAGTGTCAAGTGAAGATTTCAAGTGGTCGAGTGGTATCCCCGTGCCAGGTTTTTGTGATTGTGTATTTTGAGTTGTGTTGTGAATGATAGTAGGCACGGTGGAGTAGGTCGAGTAAATTTTTTTGGAAGTGCCCTGTTTTCACTTGCGTTCACAGACGGATTGCTCTGTTCACCGTCTTAATCGACCATGAATAGTCAAACGCGTCTGTGAACCAGTGCACTTCCACGTGTGTCAAACCCATCAGTTTGCCCACGTTCACGGACGGATTGCAGTGTTCACGGTCTTAACGATCGGGAACTGGCAAACGCATCCGTAAACCTCAGGGTCTGCCT